CAAAACGACTAATTATAAAAAACCTATCTAACAATTTTAATTTTTTAAATAATGAAGATTAATAAAAGATAATAAAAATAACAAAATGTTTAATACTCACAAAGATATACGTTCTGATCTTCAATCAATTTCATATTGAATGTTGAATTATCAAATCATTCGAACTCCCGACCCTTTCGTAAATTTTTCTATGTTACGAGCATGACGATAACGAGGGCATATGATGGTGGGGAAAGAAACGCGAGTTAGAAAGCCTTAACTGTCTCTCGGCCGGCTACAGCCGGTAAAATCGCTTCTCAGTAAACCTTCAGCGGTCGTCGATCGTAGTTGTTGCGCGTTGTGTATGCCAACTTTGAGACCTCGTTTCATCGTTCCCATTAACGAGTAATATTAGACCACTTTTCTCTTCGATATGATGTTTCTTCTACGAATTATCAAAGAGAAATTAATCTCAAAATTAGTATAAATGTGTATTCGTATATTTTGTTTAAATAAAGATATATTAGTGGTGAAACGTAATCATAGTCGAAGTCAGCAATCTTCGTGAAACAAGATTTTGACAATGTAGTGCCGTCAATCGTTTTAAAAAAAAATATATATGAAATATTTTTTAAAATAGTATTGCTAAAAAAAATATCTAAACATCCACGAAGATTATTACATTTATAGATGTATATCTACAAGCATTACATTAGACACTACATTAAGTTTTGCAGAATAATCGCGAATAAATTTTATAAATTGAAAGTTTAACCAGTGCATCTGATACTAACCAGATAAGATAAAAAGTTGAACGTGACGCGAACAGGGACTCATTATCGGCTACCTCGTCCATCGGCAAGTGAAATTTCCTGTGGTTGTGCAAGGAAGTAGGTCGCAAATACACGTTAATGCGAAACAAGAACGAAGCCTGTGAGACATTCTTTCGAAAGTCTTTCGGTGAGACCAAAGATTCAATAAGACCAAAGTTCAAGGCGACTTACTAATTCTAATATAAAACCTAAAACAATCATTACTAAAGTCCATGTATATACAATGTGCACGAAGTATGATCAGAATCACAAGTAGTTATGTCCTTGAATATAACATATTTGCATGTGTTATACAATAAGTGAAGTAAAGACGATACTGCGTACGTTACCAAGAATTACTACGGTTGATTGATCAGGCTGGTTTTCTCGCCGTATGCGCGAACCACAAGTCCATCCATCCTGAAAGATGATCCTCAAATGCTAAGAGCGATTATTATTGCGAAAAAAGGAAAGCGTGTAATTTGTATTCGAAAGTGACACGCGATGGGAGGATGTGAGATCGTTATTTAAAATCAATGCTAATCGCAACGTTCATGCAGCGACACTGTTGGAAGGGAGTTGCCAATGCTGGTTTCTGGATATTTATTAGACAAAGGGAATAATGCAAAAGCATTTGATTATAACTTGGAGCATGCGGTGGTGTGAAAGTAAAATTGGACAATCTTAATCGACAAGAAGCGCAAGAAGTAAAACGTGACAAAACTAAAGGAGTTTCGGATGATGGAAATGGTGAAGGAAAAACCGCGCAGACGAAGTGTGAGCGAATTGCTCAATTGGAGATGCCTAGCTGAATGTAAGGGCGCCATTGCTGGAAACGAAAATGATAGCGCAGGAAGACTTTTGCTAGAGAATCGTAACGGAGAACCAGAGACGCGCAGGCGGAGACGATCCGGTACTTGGCCGTGAGTAAAAAAAGACGTTACTCGAATCTTCCAAGAAATTATAGAAAGGAAACGGTGATGAGCTTTTGAATAAACTATAAAACCCATCCTTTCTAATGATTTCCTGCCAATCCTGCACGAAAAGAATAATTTTGCTGCAGTATCTAAAAATTTAGCTGAATACAGATTTGAAAATAATTTTGTCAGACTATCAAAATAATTATGTAAGATAATTATGTTCGAACTGTTGGTTAGAATATATACAAATATTTTGCATTGTTTTTCATGTTTTAATTTTCATAATTATATTGTTGGTCTAACAAGATTATTTTCAGAATTGTTTCTAGGTAAATTTTTTAATATTTCAACAAAATTTCGTTCTGTGTGTACTTTCCATGACAAACAGATAAGACGATGAGGCTTTATCAATTAGCGGTTTCCAGCAGAAAACAAAATCTTTAAACGTAACTGACCGCTGTATCGCTGAAAGCACATTATTCCCTGTTTCGAAAATAACCAAGTTGCATTTCAGCAAGCGAAATGCGAACGATGATATTAACACGTTAGTAATTTCGATTACAAAACAAATTAGCATCGTCGGATGTTTTGACAATATCAAGCAAAAAATCATTGTCGTAAATATTTGAAATCAACTATAACAAACTAAAACAAAACAATAAATAATTTAGCTTATAATAGCTTATGTAGCGCAATAACTAATGTTTTGTAGCAATTTTAAGTAAACAATATTTTTAAATGAATAAAGTGGATCTAAATAAAATATTGTACAAATATGTATTATACTTTTAATAATAAGTATATATAAAAAATATGATTTAATTTACGACAGTTTCATCAAATTTGCAAATAAGTATTATATAACGAATTTACAGAATAAAGATCAAGGCAAACAGAAAAATTAAATAATATTTAAATCTATACGATATGCTCAAATTTTATATAAATATTCAGATTTAATAATAGAATTTATGAATAATCTATGAAATAAATTTTCATATTTTTGGTAATTCTATCTTGAATTGTGTGATGTATATATTTTTAATATTTTAGATTACAAAAGTAATTTCTTTTTGTTCTTCGTACTCAGAAATAATGGTTAATTTTTTTAATTGATTAAATAATTCTAATCCGGACTTTAATATTGTTTAGAGTTTAATTAAACGAAGTTATAAATATGTAATTCAATTGCAATCTAATGACTAGGATACCTAGCTTTCAGGACACTTCTCAATTTGCAATACCAAGAGATTCTTATTGTCTTTTTATCATTAATAAAAAAATGAATTTTTTATTTCATTATGTGATACTCAATTAATATTGCGAAAAATGTGCACAGATAATAGATCGATTTCTAAATATATTATCGTTAATTCGATATTATTTCATATGAACATCGCGCCAAGTACGAGCAAGCAATTTTACTAATATAAAATCAGATTATTTCACTTTATAAAAGTGAGATCACGTAATTTGACTCTATCTCGCATGTAACATAAGACTCAGTATGTAATAGCTTGCTCAACTCTTTTGCTGTATTATGATATTATCGTTTGAACACAGATATTACAACACTATACGTAAATAATTTAATTTAATTCGTTTAATTTAATCGCAAATTTTAGTTGAATTTTTAGGTAAAAATATATTAAATCGATGAAGAATATCAATAAATTAAATATTTATATACATTAAATATCTATTCATTAAGAGAGAGAGAGAGAGAGAGAGAGAGAGAGAGAGAGAGAGAGAGAATAGCTAATAATACAATTTTTAAATATTTAAAATTTTATTGATGCAAAAATTATTTAATTATTGTAAATTTACAAAAAGTTATTTAATTATTGTACATTTAAGATTCTTTTCAAAATTTTTTGACGTTTTTCATAAATGAAAAAGTGAAAGAAAGTCAAGTGTTATCTAGTTGAGATACTCGATCAAATTTGTCCAGCTCGATCGATCGGAAAGCCGGTAGGATGTTTCGAAGGAAAAAAATACGATTGAAATTAGAACTGAAACAAACAAGGTTGCATGTTTAGAATTGATTGGCGTTCTCGCGCTTGCGTATGTCGTACTATTCGCTGGGCGTCTCGACGTCGGCGTGTTCACCTAAGAGACATTGCTTGGAGAGTTAGTTCCTCGTGGTGTGTCATTGCCGACATGTGCTTTAATCACAGCTGATTCGCGTTATTCTAATTATTACAAACGTTATTTCTCCCACCTGTTTGTCAAGAAATTTAACGTAGACCGATTGTAAAAACAGCACACATGGATGAAGCCGAGTTGAGGTATTGCCTATAAATAAAAAATAATGATTTCTACATCATTAATATAACTCTCTTATAATATTTTAGCAAAATCATACGAAAACTTGTCTTCATCCACTTCGAATATAAAACACGATTATTTCTCGATGTGTCAAATATGAAGGATAACCTTCTAGATTTTTGGAAATTGCGAAATCTCTACGAGTGTGCACGTGTAGCATCAGCGCTTGAATGCTGCGGGAGCACTTCTTGTTATTCCTTTCTTCGAGAACGAGAACGCGTTCACCTTTCACCGCACATTCCATTCGATCCGGCTTTTGCTCGATGAGCTCCTGTATGGCTCGCATCCATGGCGCCTCCGTTGTGCCGTCAGTCGGAATTTCAGAAATTCGCATTCGACGCAATCGATTACAAAACTATTCTCACTGTTTTCTCTTTGTTGATTGGGTCCAAACAGCTCACGTGTCATCTGGAACGGATCACATCTTATGAAGATATATATGTCTTGATTCGATGGCAGATCGGTGGCAAATCTCATCATTACAGATGTTACGTTCTTAATCCAAATGCGATCGATCGCAGCTGTGTTGCAACAATATTACTCGAATTTAATAAATATGATGATATTTAGCACTTCACTATGTTCATCGTAATACAATCGGTTTTTACACAAGAAATCTTATCATTTAGAAAGAGAGCGTACAAATTTCCTCAACTGATCAAGAGTTTTTTCACTTTCGATTTACTAAGTAAAATCAAAAAGTGAAAGAAACTAACATTTCCTTGAATAAAACTAATCTCAAATCTTAAAACTTAATATATCTTGATAGTACATGAACATTCGATGAATGTTCTATAAATATTTATTACAAATATTTGTTATTCTAAGAATGTACTAAAAACGTTGTTAAAAAAATATTCGTGTTCATACAATATTCGAATAGCAAAATTATAAATATTCTATGAACATACGTAGAATATTTTGTACAATGTTCTACAATATCGTACAAATTTTTATGCTCTACGAATATTGTAAGGAATATTCTGTTTATATTTATTCGATTAATCTGGATAAAAAGAATTTTTATATAAGAACGTACATAGATATTTATAAACATATATAAGTACAAATTATTCTTTATTTTTCTATAAAAGAAAAAGACTATTTTATGCAGAAGTAACGTTTATATAAATAACATTCGCTGTAATTGTGCAAAATCTTGAAGAAAGTGCTGTTACATCAGCAAATGTATTCCTAATTTAAAAAATAAATACATTCGAAAAAGTACAGCAATCTGAAAATATCCTCGATTACAGACGTCAGCGCAATATATTTCGTCTAATAGATTCAGTCAAAATTATCATAACGTTTGCAACGTTGTTTCGTTAACACATGTTATCAGGTTACTATCTGCAACATCGATGCGAATTGTGGAACGAGTCATTACCGATCGCCAAGATAATAATTGCAAGCTACTTTTCTATCCAGACGCGTCATTCCGCGCGCAGCCATCTCGCAACTCAGTCGCTGTTATGTGAATTATCGTGATTAAAGTTATTACGAAAAACGTACGCGAAGATAAACACTTAAAAATATTTAACCTTTTATAGTTGTGTAACATTTTGATAGATACGCGTGCGCAAGATTGGCGCTCTTATTAGTTTTAATGGTGAAGTGGAATTAGAAATGTTAAAATAGCAATACTGGAAGCGAAAACAATTTATCTTGTGCGCAATCGCAATGTCTATATCGAGCTGTTGAATACAAAAAAACAGATCATAGTCCAAAAATTGTGTTTCGACTGAAGTTCAAAGCTCGCGCAACTTATTCGAGAAAGACTTTTTATGTGTAAATTTTTCCCTTTGAGGTGAGCCCGACGCGCTAATTAAAAAAAGTCTACTATTTTACCGCAATGTTTTTAATAAAAATACTAATATTTTAAAATTTGCATCTTGGCTCAAATAAGTTTGTTTGTTCCATTTTTTTTATTTAATCATTACAGCCTGAATTTAGAATTTTTTTTAAAAACTAATATTTTCATTAATATCATAAGTCACGTAAATTTTTACTTAACACGTAATAAAACAGCAATATAAAAACAATTTCTCATTGCAATCTTATCTCAAATAATATCTTTGGAAAAATGAAAGCTTGTTATTGAGAATGATTTCGAAGGCCTTTCAACAAACGAAGGACGTTATAATGCCGTCATCTCGAAACGAAATCGAGTCCTAGGATTTATGAATCCGATAACAAGCGAATAAAATGATTTGATCGGGAAAGTTATAAATCCAATAGTGCGATCGCGTTCGTAAAAGTCGTATTTAATCGGAAATTATATAATGTTCTAATAAAATTTAATACAGATAAAAAAATGTTTTTTAATAGAATGGAAGACAATTAAATATTAAATATCTTAGCTTTTCAATATCATCGGAATAAAAATTCATAATGTCAGGTTATATTCAATTTAAGTTATTTTTAATCATTTCTATAGATTGCCACTATACTCAATAAACCGTTAATTTGATTAAAATAATTTAATTCAAGAAATTAAATTGGACTCAAATTAGTTTATTATTTATTAAATTTATATGTTAATAATGTTATTTACTTTAAAACTAAACAATTCAATCACAATAATACATTGATTTACGTTTTGATAGAAATAGAAATTAAAAATAATAAAACGGTTTTCTTTTAATTGGATATTGCTTTTTTGACATCTTATAACAATGTAGTCATATTAAGATTTGTTTTACGTAACTTTAATTTTTTATTAATGCAGATACGTACATTTGTTGCATTCCATTATATCTTAATATTTGATATTTTGATTTAAAAAATTTATATATTTATTTTTATGTGATATTTTTCACAAACATATTATATAGTGGATACATAACGAAACGGTATAAAATGGCACTCCGAAGGAAAATAACGAAATAAATAATTAAAAATATAATGATTTATTTTTATACAGACGTTTTATACATACAAATTTTAGTTAGCGATAGAGCAATTCCGATTTAAAATGTGAAGTTGGATGATGTTAATTTTAGTAACCATGATTTCTTCCTACTAATCATACGCGAATCTAAATATAAATTGTTTTGGCACAACTTTGCTACGAGATCTTGACTATTTTATTACGCGTATACATGTGATACTGTTATGATTCATAAAGAAAGACGTTCATCATAATTCGTCGTTTGGTCATGATACTTCTTAGTATCTTATCAACATTAATCGAATTTTTAACGTTAAATTTTATTTTTTTATATATATTTATTTATTTTATATATTCCTATCGCGATAACTATTAGTTAAATTAATGTTAATTTACCATTTTATCACAAATATCTTGAAGTATTTTGTGCATACAGTGCTGCAAAAAGTTTAACTTAATTTGTGCTAATTTTTTTATTATCTGCAAGATTTGATCGATATGTCTCTATCAAATGTTAATGAAATCAGTGGACAATATGACTTCGTTTATGATGTTGTTGGCCAGTCAAATGTCCCGTCGATGGACAATAATCTACAAAATCGCATCCTCAGGTAGATCTTCCTCGATAATTTCCTCTTATCATAAAAAAGTATATTCTAAATGTTACGATCAGTAATTTTCAAAACTCACTGATAGCAGACATTGGACGCTGACTGGTTGTCTGTAAAAAATATTTAATTGTAAGTTAAAAAAATATCTGCATGTGTGTACACGTATATGTATAAAGTTATGACTCTGGCGGAGTTATTTTAAGCTAGAATCACACGATAGTTGATAAGCATGCATACATGCTAAAATATGTTCATGCATTGAGCGCAGTGTGCTGTATGTTTTTTTTTATTTTTGTATTTATGTCTGTATATTACTTTATAGCTATATATATATATTTCCTTGTACATACCAATGAAAAGATTAAAAATAGTCATGAGCAGATTGATAATATCAACAAAAGTATTTTTTTAACAATTCTACTAATTTTGTAATTATCTGTCAAATGTCAAACTGCATCATCATGCATCAAAGCAAACATAGCAGTATGTTTATCATTCCATAAATCATATGGTTCACTTTTACTTGATTACGTCGTGAAGAAACGTAGAACATAAAACTAGCGAACTTGAGCGTGTTATTATGAAATACATTTTTCTACATATAATAAGAGCATTGCATGATTCTTAATTCATAAAAAAAAAATGACATAAATTGCTGTAGCGAAAAAATTCAAATCTACTAATGTTAAAAAGCTAATACACTAATGCATTATAATTACAATTACTTTATGCATTATAATTACTTTTATCAATAAATAACCAGTTCAGACTAGTTATTGTCTTGACTTAGCATAATTACAGCATGCGCAGCTGACTACATTTCAAATTTATTTTTATGATTAACATATATTTAATATATGATAATAAAATAACCGTTTCTATATATAAATTGTGACACGCTATAATAAATTTCAATTTTAAAATGATATAAATTTTTTATATATTTATTTTGGTGCTTATTCATTCTTAATCAAAATATTTATTTTACATTTTAAAAAATAAATATGTTAATAAAGAAAGATTTTGATACGAAGAAATAATAAATTGATCTTTTCGCCTCGTTTTCCTTTAAAAAATGACTAACGGAGAAAGGAATGGAGAAGATCAGGAGAAGTTCGCTTCGAAGGTCAGAGTCTTGAGTTGAATACACTCATACTTTTTTGTGATATCTCTGTCCAAAATTGGCAAGATCATTCGACGTATCTGATGATTTTTTTTTTATGCTTAACATTTGTTTTCTTTTTATTTTACAGAAGAACGAGAAGTCTAAACGCACCCAGTCCCGTTCAACACTTCGGGCGATGTGGGGGTATCATGAAAACTTCTGTAACGGTTATGTAAGTAACTCATACAATATTTTGTTGGAGACATTGAAAGACATAATTAATTATTACGTAGAATATTTCTATTCTTTCTCTTTAAGTAATTATTTTATTCATACACATAATTTAATGCATTAAAATCGCATTAAAATCCTCGATAGCTCCTCGATGCTCCTATTAGATATTAGTATCACTTACCTTTTCATTACTACGGGTAACTTTAGTCACGCGTAAAGCAACTTCTATGTGCGAAATATTTTAAAACATAACATAAGATATTATATTTAAAACGTTAGAAAGTTTTAGTATATAAAAACATGGGAGATGGTGTCGCAAATAGTTTGATCGCAGTTTGCAGCGATTTCGAAAAAAATTACAAATTTCATGTTATCACTATTATCATTTATTGTTAATTTTAGAACTTATCTCTCTCAGAACACATAACAAAAATTAACTATTAATTATTGCATATAATCACATAACATATGTACAAAATGTTCGGTAAGTTTTGACAAAGCGCTCGTGTGTAGATAGAACGGTAGACTAAACTACATCAAAAAGCTCTTACTATTTTGCAATTTTCGTAATATTTAACAAGATACTAATTATTAAAAATCGCTGAATTTTTCAATAATTTTGACAAAAATTATTTATTTTCTTCTAAAGTTTTGAGAATTTTTTCAGAATTTTTTAGATATCATATATTCTCATGTCGATAAAAATAATTGTCAATAAGAAAATGCAGTATTAAAAAGTTAATAAAAATTCTGAAAAAATTCTTCAAACTCTATGAAAAGAAAATAAGCAATTTTTTATCTTTTTCTATTTTTCTATAAAGTTAATAATATTTGAATAAAAAATATTGAAAACCAATATTCGGTAATTTTTACTAATTAATATCTTGTTATAACTATTGCGAAAATTGCAAAATGGTAAAAGACACACAATTTTCGATTCACAATCAGTTTAGTTCGCTCTATCCACGCACGAGCGCTTTATCAAAACATACCGGACATCCTGTATATATTTGATAAATAATAACGGCAATATTAAACAATAATATAAATAATTTGTAATAGAACGATTATTAATAATAAATAATAATAAAATAATATAGTAATAATTATAATAAATAAAATAATATAGCATACATAAATGTAACAACTAATTCCGGTTTCCTGTACTCCTAAAAAAATCATAATAACTTTGTAAGCCGAACATGTACGCATTTACAGCACAACAAATTCCTCAATCCAAAATAATGAGACTTAACTTAAATTCAACATCTGCAAATATTTGCAATTTTTTATCGAATTTTGAAAAGTTTAATGTTATAAACATTAAATTATTCATCTATGACTACAATTGCAATCAATATTAAATTTAGCACTAAATATAAAAACCTATTAAGAAATTTATCTAATTGAGAGTTCCGGTCAAAATAAATAACAACAATCTTATGTAAATAGTAACGATTAACAACATGTAATCAAAACTACGATGTGTTAATGGTCGAATAAACAAAACTATCTTACTATATACGCCATTGTAAATTAATGTTATCGCCAAATACTAAGTGTAAACCAAATACTTTCCACTGCATGGAAAGAATTTATTCAATTATATAATGTTCAATTAGTATAACAATAAACGTTTCGATCCTATTGTGGATCCTTTTTAATCGCAATAACATTCAATATAATACAATTAAAAATTGATAAGTCATACAATTATAAACTGAACTTTAAAAATCGAATTGTGCGACAGCCGTGTCTTGTGTTGTAGTTATAATAAATTGTATTCTCAGCGTATTCTCATTATAATTACCAAGTTAAATGATAAACACTGTGTTTAGCTCTCACAGCATTATAATTCTTGAATTTATTCTTTGAAGCTTGTCAATTTCTTTTTATTATATTAACGAATTATTGACGAAAATTTATAGTTTTTAATATTTTGGAATGTTTATAATAATGTAAATATACGTTCAAAATACTCAAATTAAATTCTTTATATTTTGGACTTTTTTCGCGCTACTGATTTAAATCATTGCGTCGAGTTGAAAGATTTTCTTGTAAAAAAAGATTCGAAGTACATCTGTATGTATTGTGGCCAGTAAAATCAGCAAATGTAATGAAATAAAATTATTTGCTTTTCATAGGAATTAAACATTATCTAAAATAAAACAGCTTCTGCCGTTTTCATCTAAATGCAAAAAACGTTTAGATATTAAATATTATTTAAGTAAAACAGCTTTTGGTGTCATTTTCAATTAAAATACTTTTTAAAACTAAACATCTTTGAGCGTTTCCAAGTAATATATTTTAAAAAATTAAACATTTATATGTATTTTCGAATAAGATACTTTTAGTAAAGCGTTAACCTCCCTTACAAAAATTGAGTAATCAACACTAAAAAATAATAATTAATATATTTAAAATAATAATTAATATAATTAGTATATTTTTTTAATGGATTAAGTAATTTAAAAAATATTTTATTTTTGCAAATATGTAAACACAAATGATAGTATGTTAAAAAATTTGTAACTTTTGATCATATCAATGAAATCTAATAATTAAAAATTGAAAATAAAGTTCATAAAATAAAAATATTATTAATATTAATATTAATCGAACTTTCAAAATTAAAAAATACAATACAATACATGGACAATAAGAGTATATACACAGCACAGATATTAGTGCGCGAATTTCTAAAGTTCATAAAGTTCATAAAGTTTAATAAAAAAATATATGTCAACAAATTTTTTTTAATTACAAGTTCGAGACATGAAATTATAATTTTGAAATTTATAAAAATATACATTCGTATAAAAAAATTGACACTTAAAAAATTAATTTTTTATTTGAAATCTATAAGCTCATACACTTTCATAAAAAAATACAGAATAACAATTTCAGAGAACGAAAAAATCGTAACATCTCTTCTACAGAACAATTTGCCATTATTTATATTTATTTTAAAATAAAACTGAATAATTTTTTGTTACATATACGTATTTTATTATAAAAATAGTCAAGAAACACGAAAAAGATCATTTCCTTAGTTGTATGATAAACATGCGTTGCGTGTAAACAAGAATTATTTGTGTTCGCGCTCGATTTTGGATCTGCCCACTGTTTAATAAGAAAATAACGCCCATTGTTAGGATTTTACGAGCACCTTCTTCCATCCCACAAGTTTTTTTTAGGAGCAAACGGTGCGACCATACTCATTTATTTTCAAAATATTCATTAATTTTAAAAATCGCATACAAAAATCGCACTTAGATACAAATGAACTTCCGTTTACACAGTGAGAGAGTAATACTACTAATGTTTATATACTATGCGCCGAAAATGTCTTAAATTGTTTATCTGGAGATGAGTAGAATAGTCTCTAATCTTGGTTTATATGAAAGAATACCTTTCTTAGCTTTCTAAATTTTTCTTACAATGGAACATGTATTCATTAACATTCATTAACAAACTTTTTAATCATATATTTTCTTGATGTTCTAACAAAGATCTTTCACATCTGGGTCCAGATATGACAATATTTTAACAGAATATAATTCAAATTGAACCATTATAAACTGACTCCAAAGAAGAGACGAAATGTATTATCGTAAATAATACACCTTCATGATATATTTTTTTACTTACTCAACTAGCTGTTTTGTGTCTATTTGTGCAATAATTACAACGCTATACTTATATTTATCGGTTTCTTTATTAATGTTTTAATATTGTGAATTCTCATCGAACTTATTGATTAAAAATCAATTCAAATTCAGACATTTTAAATTTAGCAGTGTACTGACATTGGAACACTTGAAAAATTTATTTATCTATGTTCGACACTTTTTTCTTATCATGGAAAATAATAATATATTAGGCTATTGTATTTAGCGTAATCGCTTTGAGTACATGTGCGGCTCATACAGCCACGTCATATAATGCATTTCGTAGCAGACCATAACAAAAAAGTTAAGTTATAAAAAGAATATTTCACATCATATCATCGCTCAGATTTGCAATATCCGTAGATCATTATCACAGTTAATTATTGATTAAAAATAATAGTATTATTAACTCCCAAAACATATGAGCGTATAAGAAAAAAAAATCTACGTATATAACGCTTCATTAGGTTGATGTTCGCTTTTCTTAGTAGAAAAGGCTTAATCTTCATTAGCAAACAATCATATCAAGATGTTAATCGCATTCATGTAATAAATGTCGAACACACTAGAAATGACCGACGAAACTCATTTGCGTTTCTTTTTGCAAGGAATGATGACTAAGCGTGACACTATATATACTGAGAGAGCATTTTAAACGTAATTATTTGTTTTTGTCTATTAGTTAACTCTTATGTTAAAATTATATCTATCTTAGTACTTTTTCTAAGATAATTTCTAAGATAATTAATATATTTTTTAGATGATTATTAACAAAATAAATTTAATCAGGATTGTAGCAAAATAATATAAAAATAGCATACATTAGATTACGTTCGGAAAGTGTTTCTCTTTTATTCTCTCTCTCTCTCTCTCTCTCTCTCTCTCTCTCTCTCTCTCTCTCTCATTTATCTTTATCATTTACTAGTTATAAAATAAATATAAAACGACGTAATAACATGATAACCCGTTTCTTGAACGAAGCCTATGTACTTTATTCTTGTATTATTTTATGCTACAACCCTGACTAAAATTAATTTGAATAATTACTTAAAAAATATTATTTTTAAATGCACATAATTTTATTGTGGAACAAAAGTCTATATGTAACTCTATATGTGTGTACGTATGTATACAATATATGTATATATAAAGATTTCATATTTATATGTTCATAACTCTGATTTATTTCGTGTAATAAATATCTGCATATCAAAATTTTGGAAAAAGTTAATAATGGACGTTTCATCATGAATATGATAATCTTCTGAGCTCAAAAAACACGTTTTGTATATACAATAAATCAGATGCTGACTGCGTGATTTCCCGCGCCTGCATGCGACGAGTAAGCGCGTGCGCGACGTTTCCGTTTAAATGTCTATCTTTTACTTGAGTTAGTAAGCGCGCGTTCGTCAACCAGTGGTCAGTACCGCATCATGGTTGGAACATCAAGGTAGGTAGATTGCCGCACGATTTTTTAGATGTTCAGATGGTAGTTGACCGTTTCTCGTGACAAGATCGTACTTCCTTAAACATTGATTAATAGTTTCAAAGGATCGCTTTTTGTTAATACAGTGATAAAGTGCCCAGTGAACATAAATTGAAGTTTTTTTTTATGAAGAAGAGAAAGTCTTATATACATATTACTAGTGTTAAGTGTGTTTAAACATGAATTGTCCTAATTATTCTGAAATTTTTGTTAATATGGTGAACTCGCTGTAAGCTTTACTCATTTTTTTTTTAATTAACTTGCATCAAATTATACATAATGTCACAAATTATTATTATATAATTAATTGGAGTCATATTTTTAATCTTTCAAATGTTATTTAACTTATGAAATTGAAAATTTAATTCTTTAATTTTTAACAATGTGCTCTATTTTTTCTTTCTCTGCTTTTTTCTAGAAAATATTTAAAAATTATCCATTAAACATTAGTAACATGATCAAATTTTATAGTCCACTTTATTTCAATCAAGTTCGTGAAGTTTGGCAATCGGACAAGTTATTGATTCCCTACTTGACTCTGACGCAAAAATATATTTTAAGATTATCTGACAAATATTTAGAATTGGAACGACATATCAACATTGATAATTAAATTGTAATTACATATAGTATACTAACCGAATATTCGGGAAAAATTAAAAAAGCAACTCGAATGTACTTGGTGTACAAAAAACACATGCGAGTTAATTTGAATTGAAAAAAAACGAAAATTATTGGTATTAGAACATAATTAAGAAAAGTCAAATTAACGAATTAATAATTAAATACATTGAAACATTTTATTGACATAAATTGTCAAATATAATGAACGAAACGTTTTAACTATACTCGCAACAGTTATCTTTAGCTATATTTATACATATAGGCAGTATATGATAATAAATATTAGCATTATGAAACTACATCTATATTAAAAAATTAAAATTATTATATTTAAAAATTAAATTAATTATTACATATACAGAAAGTGACTATCAGAATCTAATCTAAGAATAAGATATAAGAAATACAAAATATATTTCAATGTTAAAAAATTTTTGTTTAAATAAAATATTTCTAGTCAATTACAAATAATACGAAATGTAAATAAAGATAATGATGGATTAAGGTCACGATAAAAGTAACAGATAAATTTCTTAATTATTATATATCTTTATTATAAAAATATAATGCTGTTATTATTATAGAAAAAAGTAACAATTTTTTTGAAAAAAATAATGATGTTATAAGTGACTTATTATAAATCACTTTCCCATCAAATTCCTGCAAATATATTTCGCTTTATTCAATGAATTACATATAACTGCCTATTTTTCTCTTTGAAAAATTTCCTTTGAGACAAGTTTTGAAAGGGTTTCATGCAGTTATCTAAGACATGAACTAAGATCATTAAACAAAGCGGAACTTACATATAAGAAGATTTGAAACGAATTTTTCGAACAATTCGGAAAATTATATATTATTAGGTTAATCTAATAATATAATGTACAAAAAATAATTTGTTATAAACTTAATTATGCTATCTCGCAAGAAATCCTATAGTAAATGATAAAAAATTAGATCGTATGTCAGTAATAATAATGTAGATGATATCAATGATGTCCTTATTTTTTGAAAAAGAAATAAAATTGCATTATTAAATTATCAAAAAAAATAATGTGTGAAAACACTTAATTTAAATGTAAACGAGAAGACAGTGTATAAAAAATTAATATAATGTCTGATAAGATTTTGACAAAGTTTCATGCTGATAAAAATATTGATAGACAAATGAAATTCATTAAATGAACTGTCATATAACCATATGTCAACAAATTATTATAAGAGAGTAAGTCAATTTTTAACAATTGTTAAGGAACACAACAAGTAAATAATAATAAGAATCGTTAAAAAATTGAATATTTTCTAAGGAATTAATTTCATTTCGTTTTACCATTAATTTTCATTTTCTTTTACATGTAGCAGAGATCAATCTTTTATTGTAATTAGATTCGGAGTCCAATATTTTAACATTCTTTTAACTAAAAAAATGATTAAATTCTAAAATTGTATATTCTGAATAATTATGACGATTCTAATTTTATATTATTAATATACTCCTTGATTTTTGTATTAAGCTATCTCTTTGTTTATTGACATCGCAGTTTTCATGATAAAGTTTGTACACACCATATTATTAGAACTAAACTCAGTTTATTTTTATTCTCTCTAATTTACGGAAGTTTATTTAAGCTCTGAAATCTACAGGAAATTATTAGTCTTTATAATTAGTTAACGCATAATACTCACAATAAAATCGTCGCATTATATTTGACATCATCAAACAAATTACTATAGATTTATTTATTTTTCATTGACAAATAAGTTGTTTATTTCTAATCAGTTATCATATAAAAAAATTATGATATCTGTGGACATTAATAATTTGCAATTTTAAATATTTTAAATGTCACTTGAAATTTCCATTTATGTTTGATTTCAAATTTTCACAAATATTTGAAGAAAAAATATAGTTTCCCAATTTTTTTATTTCACTGCATTGTCTTTTAATCAATCATTGTTTACTACATTCAATTTTACAAATTTTTATTATTTGATATGGATGCAAAAACTATATATCTAATCTTTTTATAGATTATGCACAAACTCAATGTAATGTAATAACATATTTAATGCTCATAAACAGTAAATGAAATTCATTGGGACATTAACACTTTTTTATATTTCATCAGTTGCCTTTGTCTCTTTACTTCGATTGTTTCTCAATGTTTGTATAGTACAATGACAGCTAGCGAATAATTAAACGACCTATTATAGAATTAATAGTAATATAGATACGTAATATAGACCATTAAGAATGTAAAATTTGTTCTTCTGACCCATGCTGCGTAAAATATAATTCAATCTTATTTGAACCTCGATCTATGAAAAATTTGTTTTTATAAAATACTCTATGAAACATAATATTGATATAAGAAATGTGAAATAATAGTTCAGTTGATAATTATCATAAATTAGCAGAGAAAAAAAAATGTAATGATAGAATCATAATAGTTTTGCTTGCTTATTTCAGGACTATTCAAGACCCGGCCTCTCAGAGGTTGACGTGGTACAAACCACCTCTCTCTGTTTTGGTTATTAAGAAAGTCCGTGATTCGTCAGTTCTATTACCGTTTATCCAGTTGGTCACATGGTTGATAGAGGTAAATATTAATACGATCATTTAAAATATCGAAGATTGCGATTTCGATATGCCTATCTCGAAAGGTTGATTAACGGGCTCACAAATTGTCAACAGCACATTTATTATAAAAGTTATTATAAAAATTAATTCACTTTATTTGCATGAAAAACTACCATAATTTCTCTCTCTCTCTCTCTCTCTCTCTCTCTCTCTCTCCAATTCATACTTTCGTCACGTATTCTTAATATTAATTTCATATTATATAGTATAGTTGTATTTACTAATTCTTACATCTAGTACATATTAAAAAAATATAAAAAAATATAATCTGATATGATATATATTATAATTATCTGTACGATGTAAAGTAGTCATTAAAGTAATTAGTTTATACATACATGTATAGTATATAACAAAAGTAAGTAGCATATATTCTTAATGTTTGAATATTTTTTTTTCTAAAAAACTTGAGATTTAGGGGCTCCGCGGAATAAAAAGATCAGAGAACAGAGAATAAGAATTTCAATCTATGAAACTGTATTCCACGATACATGATTTTTGATAGGTTGAAATTCTTATTCTCTGTTCCCTGTTTCTTTTATTGTACGGAGTCTCTTAGATATCCTAGATAAAAAGCGAACATTTATTGTAAAGTAAACATTCGTTTTTTTAAGATTTTTTTTTATTCGTATAGATTAATTGTGACGCGTCAGAGTTGTCTGCTGCGTATAATCAGTGACGAATGATTCCGTAAATGCTGTAAATAATATATTCTTACCCTCACCTAATAATTTTGCACGTATTTTGTATTTATTCTGGGTAGATAAGATATAATGCCAAAATTTTATTATATATATACATATATATATATATGTTGTGT